ATGTATATGTGTGTGTATATATCTATTCTCTTTTTTCACAGATGCAGGATGGTTAATCAGATGTGCGACTTCTGCCACGATTGTTACCTACGGCAGCACAGCCACATTAGACTGTACTGTACCACACCATACCATACCATACTATACTGTTCTATACTATACTTTTTATGAGACTAGACTAGCTTAGACTAGACTAAACTTGTCTATACTATACCATACTAGACTATACTATACCATACTATACTGTACCATACTATACTTGTTACCAGTATCAGACAAGACGATGCTATACTATGCTAGACTATACTACATACTATACTATCCTAGAGTATACTGAAACCCTAAACCCTAAACCTCTTATTAGACCGGACTATACTATACTACACTAGACTATACTATACTAACATACTATACTAGAGTATACCCTAAACCCTAAACCCTAAACCCTAAGACCAGGTTTAGTTTTACGCTGAGGTTTCATGATGCCCGCCCGCCGACCGAGCTTCCGACGGACTTCAAGGCCGAACCTCCAAGGGTCTTCCCCTTTGAAAGGGTTCCCAAAAAGGCATGCTGCACGTAGGGGTTGCTTTGAGGCGGTTTAGGGTTTATAGGGGTTTTAGGGGTTAGGATTTAGGGTTGACGGTGTTAGTTTTTAGGAGTTTAGGTGGGTTGTATAGTGGTACAAGGCTTACTTTTAGGATTGCTATTCGGGTGACTAACTGCTAGAAGGGCTACTATACGGGTTGCGGTTCTAGAATGCCTCCGAGAAGCCCTGAGATGGTAATGTGCTACATCTTTGTCGGTTTGCTTATGATTGAGGTGGTGTCCTTCGTGCGCGCGGCTGATGGTGTTCGGCTCAGTCAAGGAGATGCCCCAGAGCCTACTCTTGGGCTCTTGCGCTCATGCGAGACGCAGGAGCTTGATTCGTAGGCTCACGTCCGAACGCACGAATATGCTGTGCTATCGTGCCCTCGCTTCGCAACATATTTCGGAGGCGCGCAGCCCACACCGGGTAGATCCCCTTTCAGGAGCGAAAGTGAAGGTGCAACCCGAAGGCAAGCTGCCACGAACTTCGACTTCCTGGTCTCCCGGGCAAAGGTTATTGAGGGCTCTGACTCCGGAGCTATGCCAAGGCATCCAGATGACAAGCTGAGAAAGAAACCAAAGTGTGGAAATGCAAAGCATCGGGGTCTCAACACTCAAATTTGGATGTTTAATCACCGTGGGAGAATGTTGTATGCCGATAGTGCCTGCATGGAATGGGTTGGTTTCCGCGCAAGGATTTGCATGTCACCGCAACAGCAAACTCCGCCACAGAATGTACACTCCGGCTGAAAGAAACTCGACCTTGACATGAGATGCTGCAGTGTGGCGTGTGAGCTGTATTTCCCTCAGGTTCCGCATCTTTCACTGCTCATTTCGAACCCGGCCAGTGTGCTACACTGGATAGAAGCACACGAGGACTTCTTCTCAGCCCGCACACATACACGAGCGATGATGCTAGTGATAGTGTAGTTCTTGCTCTGCCAGGATCTGATGCTTCAGGGTGCGAGCCTGCAAGCAGTCATGCCACACTCTTAGACAACGCGGCTGCCAAGCACCCTGAAAGCACTGGCTTTGAACCAAGGTAGTATATTGGGTGGACCAGCGCGGGCAAAAGTTGGGCACAGCGCTCTGGGCTTCAGACGGCCTTGAGGCGTGTCCAGCACAGGAAGTTGAAACGGGGGTAGCTTATAATAGAATAGAATAGAATAGAATATATTATATTATATTCTAGTAATATAGAATATAATATACTGTAATATAATATAACATAATTCAGTATGGAAGGCAAAGGAGCTCTCCATCACCAATGCATCGGTGCCACCGGACGCCCGAGGTCTTAGGGCTGGGTTCTCAGCACAGTTCTGATGGGTTTAGGGTTTAGAGTTCTGATAGGTTTAGGGTTTAGGGTTCTGACGGGTTTCGGGTTTAGAGTTCTGATAGGTTTAGGGTTTAGAGTTCTGATAGGTTTAGGGTTCAGGGTTTAGGGTGGCCAAGCCTGCAGTGGCGACTTCAAGGTGCTTGCGAGAAACTTGCATGGCGAGATGACGTCTGGACCAGCTACATGGTGGCCCGGCGGGTATTGACAACTCTGCGAATATCAGCAGACAGCACTTGATGCAGTTGGACTTTGATGATCTTATGTTCTGAAGCCGACAGCGTGATTTGAGTACGTCAGACAGGCTCCCATCGCTGGCCGAGCAGGATGAAAGCGAGCGCGCCTCTGACGAGAAAAGCGGACTGTGTTGTCGTCTGCTTGCCTTCGAAGAGTGTAGGGTAGAAATATGTCATGTTTGATATAATGGAACCGAGCGAGCATGTTCCGGCGAGAGTCTTGTTAATCCACGTGGCCATGCTCATTAAACGCAACGTGACAATGTCCAACTCCAATCTAAATCCAAAAGATTAAAATGAATCTTAGTTTCAAAAGTTTCTCACTTAAGAAGATAGATCTCACCTTCGACGAAGAGGGACGGGAAATATATTAGATTTTTGATTATAGGTCGGGCGAAAGAAATTCTTGTTTTTAAATATTTAGAATATAAGAGACTATAAAATTCTTGGAAATAAAACTCTTGGAATAGCGGGAAAATTATTCTATATTTGAAGATATTGGTTGGATAATATGCTGAATGAAATTAGTTTGTAATTGATCGTGAAATAAAACGATCTAGAATCTATATATATCTGCCGATATATAAAATGAAATGAGTGATAAAATCGAAATAGAAAAATTGATATATATATATATTGCTCGGAGATATATAAATGACTAATGTAGTTTACAGCTAAGGCGGTAGATATTGATTTTTATCCAAGGCGGTAGATATTGATTTTTATCTAGAATTGATCTATTTTTTCTGACAAAAATAATATCGAAGAGAAATATTCGATATTTTAGAGATTATACAGATATATATATTTTAATTAAATATATATGCATAAAAATTTGGTTTGAAAATGATTTCTATAATACAAAATCCTCGATTCTAAAAAAAATAGATTACGGACTAAGAAGAGAATTTGTGCACAAAATCTAATATATTTAATTCGTATTAATTCTATTTAATTTTTTGCTAAGAAATTATTTCATAATCTAATCGATCTTTAAAAAAAGATATTGATTTATATATTCTTAACTCTCTATCTAAGAAGATGATGCAGAAATAATATCGAATACATATATTTATATTTCTAAATTACAAGACTGACCCGGATTTTAATTAATTCTACGAGAAATATCATTGTTATATAAATTCTTTCTGATTATGATACCTTGATTATATACATTGAAATATTTCGAAATCTCTAGGAATAAATAAATATCAT